TCCTCTATGGGGTTATCATCCGGCTCCCAGCCTTCCAACTCCTTGAAGCAGAAGAAACACTGCGCCAAGTCGGGCTCGTTCTCAGTGGGACAGTGGATGAAGCCGGCCTCGGCCATCCGTTCCGGAGTGCAGGCGCAGCCCTCCAGAAAGGGCCAGTTCTTGAACGTAGACATGCGGTGGTCTTTGAGATACAGCTGCCACGTCCGGGGCAATGGCGGGGCCCCCATTCCGTCTCCGCCAGAGTTCAAAGCCTAGTTCCAAGATTCAAACCCGCGGGTAGCGACCTCTGCCATGATCTTTTTAATTTTGTTCCTCATATTTAGATTAGGTTATGATTATTCTTGTTTTTTGAGGACTTTGGGGGCATCATTAGGTTACTTGTGCTCATTCTGTTTTTCTGATGTGGGAATTCACTATTATCAACTTCCATTTTATGACTGCTTTCATTGTGTCCCACACCTCCAGCATGCTGTCCCGGCATTATCACTTGATTATAGAAAATTTCCAATTTCTTCTTTGATTTCACCTGCGCACACTTGATTATTCAAGAGGGTATTATATAATTTCCATACATTTGCATAGTTTCTGTGGTATCTCTTATCACTGATTTCTAGTCGGACTGCATTATAATGTGATAATCTGCATGCAATAATTCTAGTTCTTTTGAATTTATGTAAGCATACTTTATTGGCTAGTAGCGTGTGCTCTATTTTTGAGAAAGTCCTATGTACTGCTGAGAAGAATGTCTATTCTGTTGTTGGATGGAACACTGTAGAACTCTATCAAGTCCATTTGTCTAAAGGTTTGGTTCAACTTTTACATTTCTTTGTTGATTATTTTGTCTAGTTTATTGGTGCATTTGTACATTAAGGTCCTCTGTTACAATAGCCTTGGCATTTATTTGATTTTTCAAGTGCATTAGTGTTTATTTTGTGAAGTTGGGTGCACTCATACTTGGTGTGTGTATGTTTATAATTGTTATTGCTTCCTGTTGAATTTTTCCCTTAACAAAATTTGATAGCATAGCAAGATACAAAATCAACACTCAAAAGTCAATAGCAAGATCCAGCCCAGCTCAGGCCTGGAGAATGTGTGGGAGAGCTTCTGGCTTCCCTGTGCCCAAGGGACCCCTCCAGACCAAAACTCAGGAACCCATATGAGTGACACCCTCTACTGCACCATCAGGACCGCTACAATCCTCCAGAACTTCTGCGACTCTCTCAGGATCCCCAGATCCAGCCCAAGCCCAGACCCAGCTAGTGTGTGGGAGAGCTTCTGCACTCCACTGTGCTCCCTGGGCCAGGGGCAAAACAGGGGGACACCACAGGTTCATTGTTGTGCCAGAGGGGTACAACAGGGTCACTTCCAAGGGCTGCAGCAGGAAGGAGCTGAACATAACAGCTAGACCCAGGCCAGGCATAACTGGACAAACTCAAACTTAGTACATCTGCACCCGAATTGCAGTATGTGCTAAGGTTATAACTGCACCAAAGCTCTACACCAAAGGTCAGAGGTCAGTGCTATGTGAAATGACAAAGACAAGGAGCAAAATGCAATCTCAAGCCTCAAGCCCACCAATAATAAGTGCAGAAGACACTAGCTCAGCTGAAATGAATGAATTAATAGCATCAGAAGTAAAGAAACAACTGCAGAAAGTTATAGAGGAACTCAGAGCAGAATTAATTTCTGAAATAAAAAAAGAAATCTTTGATAGGAAAAATGTATGCAATGTGTTAATTATTGAAACTGTCCTACCAATTTGGTTTGAACCTGTCTCATTGCTATTTGTTTCTCAATAAAATTATGGAAAAAAAGAGAAATCTTTGAATTCATACCATCTGAAGTAAAGAATCAAATACAGAAACATACGGAGGACACCTAATCGGAAAAAATCTCTGCAGTAAAGGAATTAATAACTGCTTATAAAGAAGACATTGATAAAAAATACAGGATATTAGAAATATGATAGATTCCTTGAATGAGCAATACAAGAAGGAAATCGATCACATGAAGCAGAGTCAAAGAGCTATAGAGGAACTTAAAATCTCAATCACAAGCCTGCAAAAACGTTTGAGTGAAAGTGAAGACAGAGTTTCAGATCGTGAAGACGCTGGTGCAGCTAGTGAAAAGGTAAGAAAGGATCTCTTAAAAACAACTAGAATGCAGGAAAAAATAATCCATTACCTGCAAGATGATGCAAAGATGAACAATGTGAGACTAATAGGCATCAATGAGAAAGATGGAGTCAATACAAATGACATCAAAAAAACATGGGCAGAAGTAATAGCAGAAAACTTCTCAAATATGAGGAAACAATCTGACATTCAGTAACTGAAGCATAGAAAATGCCAAATAACTTCAACCCAATTAAAAACACACGGAGACATATAATAGTAGAAATCCAGCACAAGAATAATATACTGAAAGCTAGAGAAAAGCAGATCACATTCAAAGGAAAACCCATCAGTATTACAGTTGACTTCTCTTCACAAACCATGAAGGCAAGAAGAACATGGGGCAGAATACTTCAAGTCCTATAACAAAACAAATTCCAGCCAAGACTACCATATCCTGCACAACTCTCAAGTTTGATGGAGAAGTGAAATACTTTCACGACAAAGAAAAACTAAAGAATTTCATGATGACAATGCCAACCCTACACAGACTATGAAAGATGTTCTAGAGAGGGACCAAAATGATCAGAACTCCATGAACGAGAACTGAAGGAACTCACTAAATAGGGCAAACAATTAAACACAGGATTAAAAAGGAGTAAATGACAGCAGGTAAATAACATGTCAGTCATAAGTAAACATGTCTCAATTCTAACCATCAATGTAAATGGACTCATTTCACCAATTAAGAGAAATAGACTGGCACAGTGGATTAGGAAACAAAATCCAACAATATGCTTCATACAAGAAACACAGTTAACTCAAAAAGATATTCATAGGCTTAAAGTCAAAGGATGGAAAACAATACTAGATGCCCCAGCACCTCAGAAAAAAGCAGGGGTAGCAATCCTGTTTTCAGACAGTCTCAACTTCAAACCAAGAATGATCAAGTGAAATAAAGAAGGCCATTATATCCTGGTTAGGGGAAAAATTCAAGAGCAAGAGGTGACACTCATAAATATGTATGCACCAAACACAGGGGGACCCAACTATATAAGACAAATCTTAATGGACATGAAAAATCCAATACCAGAATCTTAACAGGAGACCTTAACACCCCCTTATCTCAAAAAGATAGGTCAACCAGACAAAAATTAGCAAAGAAGTAGAAAAACTTAACCAGAGGTTGGAACAAATGGACTTGGTGGACATACACAGTGTTCAATACTAGAACACTGTGTGGAACAGCAACAGCTGAATACACATTCTTTTCAGCTGCACATGGGCCATTTTCTAAAATAGAGCACATAATAGTCCATAAGTCTAGCTTAAGTATATGCAAGAAAACGGAAATTATCCCAGGTATATTATCTGACTACAGTGCAAAGAAACTGGAAATAAATGACCAAAAACCCGAGAAAAGCCACCTAAATACATGGAAATTAAACAACACCCTACTCAGCAATCAATGGGTCACAGATTAAATTAAACAAGAAATACAACAATATCTACAATTCAATGAAAATTCAAGCACAACTTATCGGAATTTATGGGATGTGATGAAAGCAGTTTTCAGAGGGAAATTCGTAGCTGTGAACTCACACATTAGGAAAACAGAACGGGAACAAATAAACACCCTAATGCTGCACCTCCCACATGTAGAAAAGGAAGAGCAAACCAAACCCAGAGCACAAAGATGGGAAGAAATCATAAAGATTAGAGCAAAAATTAATTTGAGATGAAAACAGCCCAAAGAATGAACAAATCAAAAAGCTGCTTCTTTGAAAGACTAAATAAAATTGATAAGCCCCCTAGCTAACCTCATCAAAAAGAGGACAGAAAAATTCAAATACAAGTGATAGGGAATGAAAAGGGTGTAATCTCTACAGACCCAGTGGAAATTCAGAAGATTATCAATAGCTATTTTGAGAATCTTTACTCTCACAGAATAGAAGACACAGAAGAAATGGACAGATTCCTAGAAAGGTACAAATTACCTAAACTGAATCAAGAATATATACCAACTCTCAATAACCCAATAACAGCCAATGAAATACGAAATGTAATAAAAATTCTGCTGACAAAGAGAAGTCCAGGTCCATATGGATTCACATCTGAATTCTACAAGAAATTTATGCAAGATATAATTCCTACACTCCTCAAACTTTTCAATGAAATTGAAAAGGAAACAGTCCTCCCAAAATAATTCCTCGAGGCAAGTATTATACTGATTCCAAAACCAGGGAAAGACACAACTAAAAAAGAGAACTACAGGCCAATCTCCCTCATGAACATAGATGCCAAAATCCTCAATACAATCCTAGCAAATAGAATACAGCAAATCATCAAGAAGATCATACACCATGACCAAATAGGATTCATACCAGGCATGCAAGAATGGTTCAATATTTGAAAATCTATAAATGTAATACACTATATTAATAGAGCAAAATCTAAAAACCACATGATCATCTCAATTTATTCAGAAAAGGCTTTTGAAAAAGTCCAACACTCATTCATGTTCAAAGTCTTACAGAAAATTGGAATAGATGGCCTCTACTTCAATCTGGTAAAAGCCATTTATGAAAGCCCAACAGCTAACATAATCCTAAATGGGGAAAAACTGAAATCTTTTACTCTCAGATCTGGTTCAAGACAAAGATGTCCTCTATCACCCCTAATATTCAATGTAGTTTTGGAATCATTAGCAAATAAGAATAAGTAAAGAAGCAGTTAAATTATCATTATTTGCAGATGACATGATATTTTACTTGGAAGACCTAAAAAAACTCCACCAAGAAGCTACTGGAACTGATACACAAATTCAGTAGCATAGCAGGATACAAAGTCAGTACTCAAAAGTCAATGGCATTGCTTTACACAGATAACAAACACATTGAGAGGGAAATTATAGAAACAGTGCCTTTTGCAATAGCACTACAGAAAATGAAATACCTTGGAATTCACTTAACCAAAGAAGTTAAAGATTTTTTCACAGAAAATTACAGTACTCTGAAAAAAGCAATTGTAGAGGATTTCAGAAAATGGAAAGATATTCCATGCTCCTGGATAGGAAGAACCAACTTCGTGCAGATGGCCTTACTCCCAAAATTATTGTACAGATTTAATGCAATCCCTATCAAACTACTACCAACATGCCTCCC